AAAGAGTGGAATGGTGGTCTGCTGTAGACATGTATCTTTGCATTAATACTTCAAGAACTTGTCCATTCAACAGGTGTTTTTTTTATCTGTATGTGTGTCTGTGGCTTTGTTTGAAGGTCCCACGTGTGCCAGTGCATACACTTGCTATGGTTGTACCTCCCCAGGAACCTGACAGAACCCCTCAAGAGAACTCGCCACCTCTCTTGGGAGTGGTGAAAGGTTAGTATGTAGCCACTCACAGAACATATGCAGTTTGGAAACTGATAGGGACAATTTTATTAGAGCTTATGCGTAGTATAGCCCACTATTAATTCTTGAACACCTCTAATGAAGTAGAACTTCAAGCATTTTATGTAGTGTATAGTTTTTGCTAATATTTTTGCATTCTACAGTATAGTAATACTGGTTATTCCAATTTTATATGCTTATTTTAACTTGCTGTAATTATGCTGATTCTGTTTTTATTGGAAGAAATTGGTTGTGGTAACTGCCATAGTACAGACTGATAAAAACATGAATAAACTCTAGCTGTGGTGCTAACTTCTGAATATTGTATATTGGTCATCTAGAATAGTTGCAACTATTATCAACAAACTTGATGTATCAACTTTTTTTTATCCCTACAGTAGCAATGCAGACATGTTGGCACTGTAAAATGTCAATGCAGATCTACTTACGGGAGAATTTTTCTTGTGTTAGTAACAGCACTCCTGTGAGTAATTGTAACGTCAGGGTTTTTGCTTTGAACATGGTTGAACTGGCTGGTTAAAACTATTTGCAGTCATGACATAGCAAATTTAACAGTTCATTTCCAGCTCTGGATTCTATAACAAATTCTTCATGTCTGCTAAGTCAGCCCAGAAAGAGATGCAGCTTCTCAAGTGGAGAGTTACAGTTTTGGACAGAGATATTAAATATTATAGTATCCAAAGCTTTGTTAGATAGCTTTACTTAATTCTGGAAGTGATCAGTGCTTCCTAAACCAAACCAACCAACCGCAGGGGCACAAGTGAAGAGAGAAAAAAGTGTACCTAATGGTGGTTAAGTGTGCAGCTGTGACTGTCTCCATGCAGCTGTGCCATGTGTGACTTCCCCAATGCAGTTACTGTGTCACTTGTTCAGGACATGCAGCATTTGATGCTTTGGGTTTCATAAAACTGAGTACCAAACAAACAAATGTGCTACTTCTGGTTCCAGTAAAACAGCAAAAAGCTACACACCAGCATGTGTGGCCATACAGTTCAGTCACTTTATTACTGTGAAGTGGATTAGTGTTCTGGAAGTAGGTTTGTAATGCATGGGAGTCAGCCGAAGTTTAGTTGATACTGAGTCAGATTAGTTATAAGGTTAAACTCTCATGTTTATTTAATCAAATTATGAAAAACATGTAGTTGATTATAGTTTAAGAAATAGCTCACATTAAGATAAACATTATTGCAAATCTCAGCACGTTCTTTAGGCATGTTTTTAGCAGCACCGTGGTGCTGGAACTGGCACAGAGCTGTGCTGGGCACTAGTTCTCATTGTTTCGGGACATGCTTCATGCAGGTCAGCAAAACCAATTAGTGATGGACTGCAGGAGATGCAGCAATCTGGAATGTGTCGTTGGGCTGATGCAGCGTTCCTGAAGTCTGTGTGCAAAGCTCTGGTGTATCTCAGATCTTTAGGGGGAAAATGGGATTTTGGTAACAAACGCTGATCATTGCAGTGATGCCACTCTGCTACTTTCAAGTTAGTTTTCTTTGATGAACTTCCATTCTTAACTTGTTACACTCAAGTGTAACTAATCCAGCTTTTCCTTGTTAGACTCCTTGGGAGACAAGGGGCAAAGGAGGGTGTGAATAAAGAGTGGGTTATTTGGTGGAGGGAAGCCTTAACTTCTATGTGAGAAGATAGTTTCTCCTGGGGAAGACAGATTTCTTTCCTTCACAAGCAGGAGTAGCCCTTATGTCTTGTATAAAATCTTCCCTAGGTGGGAAAGGAGAGGAACACCCCAGCTTCACCTCATGGGACTCTGGTTCTTAAGGACCTGTGTGAGTTCTGCACAAAATGCAATAATAACAGCGTGGCAAGTCAAGTGTAAAACTACAACACACTTGGATGTTACTGCTGTGGTTCAAATATGGTGTGAGGATTTCAAAATGGGTTTAATTTTGAGTTCCATTATTATTCTTCAGTAAAGTAAGAAGACATATAGGATGGTTGCCATTTGACTAATTATTTTGGCAAAGGATTTAATATCAATGTTTAGGAACTGAAAAGAAACATTTCAGAGCTGACAGTGGCTCTAGATGAGATGAAGGTGAGATGCAGAGATGCCAGTCTCTGAAAGAGCTAAAGAAAGATCAGGTAGAAGGAACAGCAGAATTAGTTCACTGGACTAAACAGACCTCAGCTTTTCCAGGCTTAGGAAGGATTCGTTTTAGTACACTACATTTAGCATGTATCTATGGTGTCCATGTTAAAGTGACATCCCAGGGGAGCTCAGGTCTTGGTGCTTTCTTGGGGAGAAGCAGGAGATCCCTTCCTTGGAGATCCCTATTAGCTGCTGTTCTTGCTTGAGTGCAGTCAGCATTGCTCAGCAGCAGTTCTGATGCAGCAACTCAAGATGGAGAGTCTTTTGGCTAGCAAACCAAAATATGTTATTTGTGCAGAGAGTGACTCCTGCTCTGCACCACGCTGGGGTGACGCGCAGTGGCTGTGATGCAGCCCTACCTCCCCTGCATCTGTTTCCCTGGGGTGAGGGAGCGCCAGTGCCCAAAACATGACATGGTTGAAGGGAATGCTATAGGGTTTCTTCAGGAGAGCAGTTGGTGTAATGGCATTGCCATTGATAATCTTGTCTAGTTTGTAAATGCGAGCTAATGTCTAGTGAAAGTGGGATCTGAAGCTCCCAGTGGTATTTGTGATGCTGCATTAAGCCTTCCTCAGACCATGCCTGGTGAGGCAGTGACTTGAATCCATGAGAAACATGCCACTGCAACAAGGGGCCACTTGGGAAGCCTTTGGAAAGCAGTAGCATTGTCTTAGTCAAAATATTTGAACTATGAAAGGTGTTTTCAAACATGTCAGACTTTCACGTAGTCTGTTTTCTGAGGCTGAGGTATCAGGTATTTTGCAAGTTTCTCTCCAGGTTTGTTTTACTTCATAGCTAACCTGAAATTGTGTTTATGAATTAACCAATTGGCCTTAACTGAGTGCTTCAAACCTATCAATCTGCTCTCATTAGTCTTCCCCACTGTTGCTTTGAAGTGGGCAGTAATTTGCAATGCCTCTCACTTAGGTGCATGGTTTTTTTAGAATTCCATAAGATCATAGACTGAAGTTGTTCATGTGAAAGCTCTTCATGATAAGAGTTCCCTTAAGGTTGAGTAGGATCTTCTGGAATCTGTAAGCTTTTTGAGTTAGACCTTCAATATATGGTATCCTCTATACCCCTGTGGTAAATCTAACAGTCTAAGGGCTTGGAGAAAGGAAAGAAAAACAATTTATGTGTAGTAACTTCAATAACTACAAAGTCAATAAATACTTTTTACTCCAAGATGTGCTTTTATGCCTAATACTGAATTACATACTGGCAGAGGTCTTGTAAGTTATGTAATTTAGTTGAAATAGGGGCCAGGTTAACAGTGGAACTAGAAAGATGATCCTGCTCTCATTGAGGTGCAGGCATTAAAAAGGCAAGCTGATGTTCCTGCTTTTCCATTTGGACTTTTTTCAGACTTCTCCACTGCACAGTCCAGCTGCGTGTTTGTTGTTTAATGTCCTTCAGTGTCATCTGATTAACTCTGGCCATTTCTTCAATGTTTTCTGCCTGGGTCAGCAGCAGCAGGAGGATTACAAAGTGATACGTTTCCTCATGGATAAAACACTGGCACAGGTTGGCCAGGGAGGTGGTGGGTGCACCATCCCTGGAGACATTCAAGGCCAGACTGGATGTGGTTCTGAGCAGCCTGATGCAGTTGAAGATGTCCCTGCTTATTGAAGGGGGGTTGGTCTAGATGAGCTTTGGAAGTCCCCTCCAGCCCAAGCTATTCTATGATTCTATGGCTTTCTAACACCACTTATACTTCCTTGGTGGACTTCAATGCCTGTTATTTTTTTAATGTGAATCTTCAGTAGTGGAGGCAGGTGAATTCTCAAACCAAGGCACATGGAGGTCCCCAAGAGCACAAGCATATGAAAAGCTCTTCATCATGGTTTATGAAATTCTGCTCCTTTAAAGCATCACTCACCTGCTTGCCACTGACTGATTTGATGACATCTCAGCAATTTTCTGGTTAGGTACTGTCAAGCCACTCGAGAAAACTTGGGAAGACCACCAAGATTGGAAAGTGACCTAGGTTTTTGGAATGTCAGAAAATTGAGTTAAATCTGGTGTGGTTTCAGCCGTGTAACCTATTGGATCAGTGCACCGATTCCCAACAAGTTTCCCATAGAAAAGGTTCAGGAGGGATAAAGATTGGCAAAAATGCTTCATGGTTTTCAGGAGGAATGTAGTGAAAATACTTACCTGATCATTTAGAACTTGGATCAAGTAGGCTAGTTTCTTGTTGCCCAGTTAGCCAGATTCTCTCATCCTGTACTTTGCATTTGTGTGTATATGCATTGGCTGTTTCCCAGGTCCTTATAGTTGAATTTCTTACTGATATGCATTAGCGAAACACAGAAGTTTCAATACTGAGCTCATTATATTCCTGTCAATGAGGCTGGTGAATTCTCATTTCAGAAAATCTAACTAAAAATCTAAGCAAATCTAATTCCACTGCTGAGTGAAAACAGGCTTGTAAAAAACCCTAAATGGCAAGAGCAGTGGACAGGCCATTCTGTTCACACAGAACAAAAGTCTGGCTATGGATTTATATGCTTCCTGATAACCTGCCTTTAGTGAAGTGAGGAACAGACTGCATCTGTTTCTTTGGTGATTTTGTGTTGGGGTTCTTTTTTGTTCCTACTGATGATGTGGAGATTTTTCATTGTTGGTATTTTTTTACCTAGTTCTAGGTTAATATTGACTAGCAGGCTGACATTGTGATTGGTACAGATTTCTATACTAGATATAGGTTTCAGCAGAGAAGGTGTATTTGAATATACAAATGCTTATCACACAAACTGGGTTTTCTGTCAACCAAACAATTCTGTCTTGTAATCATGATTAACTTATGGCAGCTGGTATTTGTGCAGCAACATCTGGATATCACTGATCCTCAGTCTTGATTTCCTACCAAACGAGTCTTCTAAAAGTGGCCAAAGCAGTTGGTTAAGAAACCAGATTGACTAAATATTGCTACTGCAATAAATTGTGTACTGGGTTGGCTGGGTGGAAGATTGATGCTCTGCCAAAAAGGTAAATTAACAAAATAAATGAATAAAAGGTGAAGTAGTTTATGATCTGGCCTATGATTGGATTTTTAGGTGAAAGTAAAAGTATAAAGTAGTGTTTTGTTCATGATTATGTACTAACGTGGGCACAGTATTTTTCAAGATATTGTCATACAGAAGAGCTTTGGATAAAGCAGAAAATATCAGCTTTTAAATGCTCTCAATATCATAATATTACAATGCTTACATAGTTAAAGCTACCAACAGTGTCTTTTCCACCCCTGGTTTGAACTGGCTGTCAGGTGTGCATACCAGGTTTAGCAGATCTTTCCTCCTACCCCTTGTCCTCTTGCAGTATCCCCAAGATTACAGATTGCAACTATTTTCTGCCATGGAAAGGATGATCTAGAACCTGAGAAGTGGCCCTGCTCACTGATTGGAAGCTGATTAAAGTAAATCTCTGCACCTCTTCTGGAGCCCAGCTCTTCACTTACTGGTTTTCCAACACTCGTCTTCAGAAACTGTCCCAACTTTCAGTGGTCATTCCCAGCCTGAGCTGCTGTTGAACCAGCCTTAGCTCTTCCACCCAGCCCAGCTCTTGAGACCAGGCTGTGCTTCTGCTCTGCACCTTCTCTTGTGCTTGTACAGACGTTTTCCCCTGACAGGCTTGTTTTTCCCCCAGGTGGAATATAGTAGAGAGGGACAGTGTCAGTGCTTGATTATTTAGGGGCTTTTTGAAATGCAGCTTGGACAGGGCCTTGAGCAACCTGCTCTAGTGGAAGGTGTCCCTGCCCATGGCAGGGGGTTGGAACTGGATGATCTTAAGGTCCTTTCCAACCAAACTGTTGTATGATTTTCTTTCCTACGGAGTGGTCTAAGCAGTCCAGAGCTGCCAGGTGGAGGGATTGCTTTGTGTTAGAATGGAAATATCTATGATATGATCTGATGAAAATTATAGGTATGGTAACCTTAGGAATGGCATTAAACAGAGCAGTGCAAAGGTTCCCATTTTGGGTCTTAAAGGCAGGGTGAATTTGCAGTTAGGTTTCTGCTAGTCTAGCCCTGGAGCAGCTTTGTTTCAAAAGACACCAACTGACTGTTACACATTTCTAACAAAGCTACAGACAAGCATTTTGGACTTTTTTTTTTTTCCTAAAAAAATAAATCTGTTTTTCATGTGTGGTCTGCAAAACTTGCATTATAAGTCACACTTTTTAAAATGAAAGGAGAGCTATATAAACTCCAAGTACACTACAGAGCCAAATAGCCAGCAGCAGGCTTGAGCTTAATATCCACCAGCCAGCACAAAGCAAATTATTGTTGAACTTCAGTGATATTCTTTTATTGCCTTCAGAGGCAGTGTCTTGGGACTCACGGGTGAGAGGCAAAATCATAGTAATGGCTGGAATAGGCATTCAGCTGGAACTGCTGACCTGTGTGAGGAACCATGCAAAGTACTGGAGCCAGAGCTACTGGGGGTGTCTGCAGTGTGTGTGGGGTGCTGGGGATTTCTTGAGGTTATGAAGATCTTTACTGTTTCCTTTAAATTTAGGTATGGTTTGCTTTCAGTCCAGAGAGAGAGTCTAGCAAAGGTATTCAGCAAAGCATTGGTTCCATTCTGGTTTAATATTCATTTCTCTTTACAAGAGAAAATTCTCACGTATGTTTGCTTTTTCAATTAGTTCCTCCAAAAATATCAGTTTCAAAGTGAGGAGTATGTGAATCCTGGTTGGACAGCAATGCCAAATCAAGTCACTTGTGAGTTATTTTGATGAAGGAAGGCTCAGAGAGCAATAAATTGGTGTTTTAGGAAACCTGATCTGGGATTTGGTTCCTGCATCCAAGCTTTCACTTAACTGTGTGGTGTCTATGCAATTTTATTAAACCAGGGCTCAAACTGTAGTAATTTTAATTCCCCTTTTACTGATGAATGGTACAAGTCTTCTGTGTGAATATTCAAGCCTTTATCTTTTTTTTTTCTTTTTAAAGCTGCCTGTATCACTGTCTGGGAATAACAAATGAGTGTTAGTGCAGAAAATTATTTGCTGAGGCTAAAACCTTCCACACTTACAGATGGCGTTTCTTCACTGAAGTCCTAATTATGATTTCAGCACTCTAATAGATAACCATTAGCAGGAGCTGACTGGAGGTTTCCTGGCTTTTAGGAATGCAGCCTGGGGTTGCCTGAGGGCAGTGAGAACAGAGGAGCACTGCCCAGTTTGGGGTCCTTGTCTTGCTGAAGATCATTTCTGAAATGTTAATAGTGAGGAGAATTGTTAATTTTTTTCTGAAGAGAGGGAGGCAATTTGGTCATTGTTAATTTTGTCTCAGAACTTCTAAAAAAGTGCCAAAGCTTCAAAACACATTTGAAAACATGAAGTCTGCACTAGGAGGATTCTCTTTGTCAAGTGAAGGTAGAATGCTGTTGTGTCTGGAGAAATAGTTAAAACTACTCATCTTGCTGTAGAGTTAGTCTTCTCTCAAGTACAGACTACTTTTACTTGTCACCTTGCAGTTGGAAGCTAGCATCTGGAAAATAGCCTTAGCTGTATTGCTCTGCACACCAGAACAACTTCGGGAACTCGGTACAGTACTGAAGTTCCCTGCTGCTCTCACTGATTTCCCTTCCCAGGTGCATTGATGTGTATGTCAGAAACCATAAAGGTTCCTTATTCCTCAAGATTAAACTAGCTGTGTTCAAAGGGATGTTAGAATCAGTATTAAATTCCAGCTGTATGCTTTGTCCTTCTTTGTCTCAGCATGGAGTGCAGGGTTTGCCTTTCTCTGGTTTGACAGATGTGCAGTGTTAGTTGTAAAGATTTTTATTTATTTTTTTATTTTTTATTTATTTTTTTTCTTTTTGGTGGGTGAGAGGGGAGGTTTGGGGGATCTTCAGCATGGCATTTTTTCAAACATTTTTCATGTGCTTAGGTACATCCAAGCAGAAGTCAAGTTCCCTGCAGGTAGCAGATAAGGACCTACTGCCACCTTTTCACCCATACCAGCCTTTGGAATGCATAGTAGAAGAGACTGAAGGCAAGCTGAATGAACTTGGACAGAGAATTAGTGCTATTGAAAAAGCACAACTTAAATCATTGGAATTAATTCAAGGTGAACCTTTAAATAAGGATAAGATCGAAGAACTTAAAAAGAACAGAGAAGAACAAGTACAGAAGAAGAAGAAAATATTGAAGGAGCTGCAGAAGGTGGAAAGGCAGTTGCAGATGAAAACCCAACAGCAGTTTACCAAAGAATATTTGGAGACCAAAGGTCAGACAGACACACCACTTCCCCTGCAGCAGCAGTGCCCACTTACAGGGGTATTCCCAGAAGTGGAAGCCGATAAGGGTCTGCCAGAGGATAACTTTTCAGGGTTACCTCAGGTTGACACAATCTTGTCTAAAGATGACGAGCAACAACAGTCTCCACCACCTGCTGAACAAATAGAGTTTGTCCCTATCCAGCCTTTGCCAGCACCGCAATGTAATTTTTCTGGTAATTTAGGTTATAATGGGACAGAGTCTCTTGAACTTCAGAAAGCATTAGGGAATCAGCAGAATGTAGGACAGCAGCAGCAGATTGCTGGGCAGGGGCTCTTAGTTCAAGAACCAGACGGATTAATGGTTGCCACTCCAGCACAGACGCTTACCGACACTCTTGATGACCTAATAGCAGGTGGGTTAAGAAATATACCTATTTTTGCATTAATTTGTGTGCTCAGTTTCCCCCTTTCTCCTTCCCTCCAAAAACATCTTGGGGTTTTCCAGTTTGGGAATACTTGCTTAAGAATAAAGTTCCTGATTAGTCCTATTAATCCTAACAGTGACTTCCAATTCTAACACGGGACTTTTAAATATCTTTTTTTCCAACATACAAAACTTCCTCTACTGGAGACCTGGTTTAGCCCCTTTGGCCTCATCTTTTTCTGTGCTTCTTTAAAAAGCCGTATCATGAGTGATCAAAAGTACCCATTCTGAAAACGTAACAGCTTGATATCTTCTATAGAGTTTTCTATACAGGCTTATACCTTGGAAACTTTCTTCACTGTAGGAGCCATTTATAAAAAGCCAAATTATTGTCACCTACATGGACAAACATGTCCCTCTCCTTGCTGCTCAAGGTGTTGAAACAGCTTAAACACAACCTGGAACCCATGCGGAGCTGCTTGGTTCTGCAATGGCTTGTGTTTTCAGAATACCCACTAAACCCTGGTTGTTACACAGGAATATCTGCTTGTTAGATACAACACATGGCAAAAAATGTGTCCTATTATCTGGATGAAAAGCAAAAATCCAACCATCCTTCCATTTGTTGGTAATGGTGTGAAGAGGAATGGAAGTTCCCACCGTTGGGTTGTGCGAGACCCCTTGTGGATAAAGAGGTATCATTTTGGTTGACTTAATTTCACGGGTTTGACTAGGATTGATGTTTGCTGCTGGAGGTATGTAGGATATAGCCAGTGTTGTTTGGTCTGTAGTTTTGCTTTTCTTTTTTTGTTAATTCAGTGTTTTTGCACCTGTTCTTTGCACCTTGTGTCTGTCCCTCAGCTGTTCTCCCGCATCTCCCTGCCTGTAGTCACTGGCCTGTTCTCTTTAAGTTTATTTGAAGGTTTTAGGAACATGTTGGTAAAACCTTTTGCCAGCCATTCCTGGGACCTTTTAGAACATTAATTCCATCGAGCTTGTGCAAGTCCAGACTACCTGCAACTTGGAAACATCCCATGGAACCATAGTTGGTGGAATTGTGTGGTGTGTTGTGTGAGCTCCCTTTAGCTGAAAAAAAGAAAAAGCCTCTTGTGTTATAGAGCATCGATCTTAGTTCCCAGCAAGAACAAAATGCAAATGAAATGCAGTGAAAACAAAATGCAATTGGATCATTTTTGATTACTTAAGACTGAGTATTGGAGTGTATGAAGACGAAAACCTCAGTGGTTAATGCAGATCATAACCAGCACGGGCTTAGTCTCTGGAGTAGTTCCTGTTGCTGACAGTTTCACACATCTAGCACAAGGCCATCTAATATCTGCCCTCTTATGGTGAGCAGCTGCATGTTAAATCCAAACTAGTCAGTGCACCCAAAATGAAAAACTGCTGCAGTCAGCTGAGTGAGAGAACTGTGCTGCTTGAAAAGAGATTGCAAACAGCCAGAAAAACTGCATCTAAAAAAGAATTATAAAAAAAAACTTGAATAGACACCGGTTCATTTTCCGAAGCTGGTTACTCTTTTTGCTAAGTAATTAAAGACATTCTTTGCTAAGAAATGAGATGCATTCAGTTCAAAAATCAGTACAAATAGCACACTTTTCTACAACCATTAGAAGCTCTATTTACAGAAATGCAACTCAAGGAAACTTTAGCCGTTCAATTCCAGAGGCTTCTGCATATGTTGATGGTGACTTCTTGAAGTATGTTTTCTTCTGAAATTCATAAGTATTATTTCACTCCCCCCCTCCCCCCCAAAAAAAAAGTTGTTGGGAGAGAATTAGATATAGAAACTTCTATGATTTTCACATGTGCTACAGATAACAGGTAGGATTGTTAAGAGCCCTGTGCCTGGTGCCGGCAAGGCCTGGCTCTTAGAGCAGTTGTGCTCTTGCCCATCTGCTTGTCTGCCTTGACCATGGTGCCACGGGTGGAGCTGCAGTAATGGTGGTGAGTCTGGAAGGGGTATGGACATTTTTATTACTGCTGAGTATTCCATTTTTATACCAGTTTTACTTCAGAAGAAGAGAAATGTTAAATGGGCTTTTTGCCATCTGCACTGACATACCTTTTACTGTTGCTCTTGCTAGCGACCAGGTACGAGACAAATGTTTTCAATGCCTCAGTTGAGACCAGGGAGAACTGTAAGGGAGAACTTGCATAACTGCAAATCCCCATGTCTTTATTTTGCTGACTAACTTAATTGTGACAGCATACATAAATGGAGTCATTATCTTGCCAGCTGCTGGGTGTTGAGGTGGCCAATGTCAAGGTGTTGGAAGTCTCCCTTACAGTTAGTCACTGGTAAACAGACCCGAGTCCCCTCTTTCATAAAGCTGTACAGAAGTAACAAGTAACCTTTGGAGAGTCAGGTAAAACCTAAGAATAAAGCAGCTCTTTCTCCTCCAGAATGTTTTGGTTGTAATGGAGTTAATTTAGATGTCCTGAAGCAAAAGTCTTGCAACTAATCTTATCTTTAAAGGTGTGACTTACTCCAGTCAAGCTGTCATTGGGTTTACAAAAGATACAGGTATTGTGCAGTTTAGGGTGGGGAAGCAATATGTTATTTTTGAATCACATCTTCCAATATAAAAGCACATTTTGGATCTCAGTACACATTTTGTTTCTTGATGCATCCTGCCTGGCATATTTGGAGCTTCATTTCAGGTCACATTATGCGTTTACCATAGTAGATTTCTTAGCTGGCAGTATCTGAATTGAGGCTTTTTTGCTGGTTTAGGGTGTTCAAGATGAGTAACTTTGTTGCTAGGTTTGGTCTCTAGTTGGAATATTTTTATTCCTGTTTGTTCTGCTCAGCAGGTATTTTTAGTCAGGAGGTGGCACCTCCATGTGCTTCTGTCTGGCTCCTATGAGCTCCTGTTTATGTACTGAAATTCCAGGCATGTTTTGAGAAACTTTCATTAACTGATACTTGGTTCTGAAAGTCTGGTTGTGGTCAGTTATACAGAATTGTGGTATTGTAATGATTTGGAAGGTGACATCTGAGTTACTGTATTTAGGATTGCTCTTGGGAGTAAAACTGGTAATGGGGATAATCTAGAGTGAGAAATGCTGCCTCTGTGCAGTTAACACATGATTGAGGAGCTGCAGGACAGGCTGATAAACTGCTCGGTCCTGAAAAATCCCAGTAACTTTGAGGACTGGGGAACTGAAATCCAAGCGCTGTGTCTATGAACATCCATGCTTACATCAGGGCAAGGGTTTATTAGATGCAGATTCAGGCTACAGCTGCAACCTCATTCAGAGCTGCTTCCTCAACATTCTGCCAATGCCTCCAGAGCTTGACTTAGATAAAACACCGAGTTCTTTCTTCCTCTTGTTTTACTCATGTTTCCTATGATATTTTCTCATAACTTTGGAAAATAAGTCATCCATGTCTACAAGAAATCTGGAGAGGGACTTCTGGCAAGGGCCTTTAATGACAGGTCATGGAATAATGAGTTTAAACTGGAAGAGGGCAGGTTTAGATTAAACACTAGGAAGCAATTCTTTACTATGAGGGTGCTGAGGTGCTGGCACAGGGTGCCCAGAGAAGCTGTGGCTGCCCCATCCCTGGCAGTGTTCAATGCCACGTTGGACACAGGGGCTTGGAGCAACCTACTCTAGTGGAAGGTGTCCCTGCCCATGGCAGGGGGTTGGAACTGGATGAGCTTTAACATCCCTTCCAACCCAAACCATGCTGTATGTCTTTGGAGACCTGTCTTCCACTTCACACTGATTCAAGCTCCAAGGCTTTCTTAAAGTGTGGGGAACCTGGATTTTGTCATGTGTAGCATTAATTTTTTATTATTTTTTTAATACAATTTTTTTTGAATATTGCAGTTTATGGAAATATCCAAAACCTATGTCACCAAATATGTATTTTATAAAGATCTGAGGTACACGCTGTGAAAATGTATTTTTATGTGTTTATTAATGCCTGGCTCTCACTGTGTTTATCTGTACCCTTCCTGGTGAGAAGACAAAAATTTATGTTCAGTAGGGAGCAGTCTGCATGTTGGGAAGTTCCCCCCTTGTCTTCCCAGACGGTGAAGCTGCACATTTCTCTGGTCTGTTAAAATCCTGCAGCATCTGGAGATGCTGAGCGTGGTCATGCCCCACGGCTGGGCAGGGGCAGTGCTGCTCTCCACTGCTGAGCTGCAGTCCTGTAGCTGTTGCTGCATTAATTCCAATTGAGTTGGAAGTCTGGAGTGGGGTATGGTGGTTACACAACAGCTTTTGCGTTGTTGTGTAACTTAGGCTGAGCTAAATCAGCCCCATGGAACTGGAGGTAAAGTTCTCAGGCATGTTTTGCTCTGCAGAGGATGAATTCCGTTGATGCTCCATTGGGCCACTTGCCAGCCACACTGAGGAGACAGAAAATGGCACTTGAGAAATACTGCAGTTTTATAAACTCTGTAGTTATGGAGAGAATGAATCATCAGTGGGTGCTACAGGACTATTTGTTGTTAGATTTTATTTTAAACAAGTATTTGGGATATCAGTACAGGATTTATCTGCATTTCTGCTGCCTTTGGTGTTCTCTCTCACATTTGAGATCATTACTGCATATGAAGATGTTTCAAGCACATGGTGACAATCTAAAGTATGCAAGAAATACTTGGACATTCTCTGTCATGGTTGTGAAACAGAATTTGTGGAACCTGTAACATTACTGAAGATATAACATTGGGACCCTTGAAGTGGCTCACATGGAGTCCCTCTGCGCACCCTCTTTGTATGCACAGCACATCCCCGTGTGTTTTAGATCTGCAAGATAGGAAAGTATTGAGCCAGTGTCTTTCATGAGGAAGCACCACTTTGATTTACTATAAGTCCTCAACAGGGTGATTGGTGTCTTGTATTTTGGAAAGAATAATCTTTAGAAATCAAATCAATATCTTGCATTTCAGTGCATTGAGCAGGAAAATTATAGTATTGTATTAGTTAATGCTCATCTGCTGTTGTAAGTGGTGAACCATAGGAAGCGGGTGAAGTGTGGGAGCTCTTAGATTTGAAACTTCTAACACAGACCTGGTTTGCTTGTGAAGGTTGGAAGGTGAAGCAAATTTCAATTCTGAATTCAGATACAGCACTCTGTTGCTTACTTGTGATAGCCAAGTGTTAATGCTGGGGTTTGCCTTTATGCCAAGGAGAAGCTTTACTTAAAAAATACAGCTGAAAATGTCACCTTCCAAAATTTCAGCGACAACTCCCTCGATGTTTCCAGCACTCAACTGAAGGGACCTATCTACACTTGCTCCAGTCTGTTTCTTTTGTTATGCATATGCAGTCCTATAGGCTGCATTAGTGGTGTTAGGGTCGTGTTGAAGTTTTTTCTAAGACTATTTCATCTCCACTGTTTTCCTATGAGTGTAATTTGTCAATGGAAGAAAGAATGAGCTGGGAAAGGTTTGCAATGGTTTCAGTTGTTCGCAGGTTTGAGTTCATCCTTCGTCTTCTCTTACTGCTTGAAACACTTGACAAACGAAAAATGTTATTAGTTATTTCTTACCTGCTTTTGTTAGTGTCTTCTATCAGTTGCTTGTTCTTGGAGTACTACAAAATCCTGTGTGTTGGAATCATGAAAGCTAAGCAGGTGTTCCATCTCTGCACAGATAGAATTTGGGCAATCCAGCAGTGGCAGTTCTCATCAAATCCAACAGCTGTATTAACAGGGCTTACTGCAGTTCAAGTGCACTGGTTCCTAGTGCATAGGCCTGTTGGGAATCTGAGCTGAGCCTTGGGTGCATTTGGATTCCCTTTAGAACTCTCCCTTGGTTACAAAGGTAGATATATGTAGAGCTATTTCTCTGCTTGTTCTGGTAAAGGTTCATTTAATACTAGTTGAATAAAAGCTGATTCTCAATTATTAATTTCTTGTGTTTTAAAAGAAGATAAAGTCACGTTCCTTGTGTCCCTCAGCTACACTAGATCTTCAGGATGAAATCTTTTTACAGTCTGTGGATCAATCAGAAATGATTTTAGGGAGCAGTTAGTTTTCAGCTTGCTTAGCTGTGTTGGCTGCCCCCTCCTGTCTGCTTCTCTTCCACCCTTCCTGGGTTGTTTTAACTCTGAGACACTGTTAATGGTGTAAGCTGCTGTCAGTCATCTTGCTTTGAAAACCTTCTCTGGAGTCGAGGTGTGCACTAACCTATATGTGAAAAACTTCGGAATTCCAGGCTGTGTTTCTGAAGGTCAGGTTTGTGTGTTAGAAATAATTTACCTGCTTACACTGAGCATATGACTGAACTCTTAACAGTGAAGGTTACAGCGTGAAAAGGATAACTAATAATCTTCATAATTCATACTTGCAGACAGACTAATTCATAAGATTATTTTCTAACTTCATACAGTTTGGAGCAGATGCTTGCACTGTGTAACTGCTGGAAAGCTTCTTTGCAAAGACACCAACGCCTTTGTTCTTAGGAACATCGATTTGTTTCCCCCCATTACTGTTTTGATATTAGACCATTGCAATGTTATGGCACTAAATATTTTTCATGTAAGTTGTGTCATTCCTGAGAGTGGATCAATAACCCAGTGTTACCTTTCAGCTGTGAACAGCAGAGTGCCTAGTGGATCCACCAGCTCCTCGCACACTACCGAATCCCCCACGCCTGAGCCGTGTTCCCAGGCATCGAGCAATGTGCCCTCACAGTCGGTGCTCCCCATGTATCCTTCAGTTGACATTGATGCACACGTGAGTAATTGCAGTTGGGTTTGAAGTTCTGAAAGGTGGGGGAGAGGGGAAAAATGGATCTAGAACTGTCTGAAAAACATGGCATTTTTCTTAAAGCATTTTTAATTTCTGAATATCTTCTTTTTCTTCCCAAAATTGAAGACTGAAAGTAATCACGACACGGCTCTGACCCTTGCATGTGCGGGAGGTCATGAAGAACTCGTATCTGTACTGATAGCACGTGGCGCCAACATTGAACACAGAGACAAGAAGGGTAAGCCAAAGCAGTGAAAGAGCTTGACCATTAGTTACAACAAAGTCCCTTTCCAGATTTCTTGTAGGCCCCTTTAGAAGTATTGGAATTGCTCCTGTAAAGCAGGCTTCTACTTCATGTAGAAATCTTGGCCATAAAAAGCCAGTGACACTGCGTGCCTTCATCTGTGTTTTGGAAAGGAAGTGCGTCTGAGTGGTATCTTAATCAGATCTGCAAAATGCGAAGCACTCCGCTCCTGATGATTCACGCTCTGCAAAAGACCTTGGCGTACTAGATAGAGCAGCTGATGGGGGTAAAATGGGCTACAATGCCAGCTAATGGGCTAATAAATCTAGTGGGGAGTAGTTGTCAGGTATGTATCATATTGTTCTCAATAACAGAATTCAGCAAAATCTAAAATCTTTAGACCTGAGAGAAGAAAACCACCAGTTCAGTCCTTGGAACTTGCATTGATCACTGGAAGTATGCAATATAGGCAGTGCAGATGTGTTCACTTGTTAGAGCTTTATGAAATAGTAATTCAGTGGAAAGCCATGACTTCTCTGAAGAGATCATTGGAACTTAGTCCAATCTGATCAGTGCAGGTACTTGTTTAGATTTCTTTTGAGGAGACTTTAATTCTATTTGGCTGGAGTCAAGAGCCTAGACATATCATGGTCAGAATAGGGCTAGGAAATAGGCTGAGGTTGTGGCCTATACCAGGAAGCCCCCAGTCTGAGGAAGACATGTCTTATCAATAGAAGTCATTGTGAATTAACCCTCTTGTGCATTTCTGCTCATTAATAATACTTTTGAGATCTCAAGGTTGCTTTTAACATGTTCTCTTCTTACTAGGATTTACGCCTTTGATTCTGGCTGCAACTGCTGGACATGTTGGTGTAGTGGAAATACTGCTGGACAAAGGTGGGGATATCGAAGCACAGTCCGAGCGCACAAAGGATACTCCCCTTTCATTGGCATGCTCTGGTGGACGCCAGGAGGTAAGGGCATATTGTCCTCCATGGGTTTGAATTGTCTTTTGTAGACAGTTTTTTCAACAGGGTTTGTTTTATTTTATTTTATTTTTTATTATACCGTCTGTTGATGGTATCATAAATCATCCTTTTTCTGGAAGGTTTTTGACCTGTATAAGTGCAGGTAATTTAAATCTTGTTCTTCTTCCAATAGGAAGAGGAATTTATTCATTTCTCTCTTGGCTGTCCCATTTCTGTTTGGTAATGTGTGTTGGTAACTTGTGCTCATTCTTCTGTCCATGTATCTCTGCAAGGTACATACATTTGTGAGGGAGGTAGAGATATTTACTGAATCACTTTATTCACTGAACACCTCCCTCATGCATCCTCCCTGTGCTCAAAACCAAAATAGCCAGTGCAGGCACACACTGCAAAACTCCAGTGCTTGGAGTTTTGCGCTGGCAAGACATGGTTTAGTGGTAATGTGCAAGGCTGATAAGAGCAGGTACAATGCAGAGCGCAGTATACTCGTCTTTTAAAGGGGGTTCCAGGTTTTTCCTCAGCTTTTCTTTTGGGGTGTGGTGGGTTTTTTTTGTTCCAAATAGCATTTGATATATCCTTCCTAGTTTAGTCATGGGCATACTAGCTTAGATAAAAGATGGCACAGAGATGGCGAAGAGCTCTGTGTCAATATGGGAGTGCTAAGTTTTGGAACTTGTAAGGATTAAAACAGTTGGCCAAAATTGGAATGTTTCCACTTGACTTCTGAATTGCAAGTCTTTAACAGTAAAAGTGCTGCTTACAAATGAGAGATCAGTGTGGCCTGTGAAAGCATTACTTATTGAAATACTCAAGTCTTTCGTTCTTCCTCTTTTTTCTTTTCTTATGCCAGAATCTACCTGTTAGGTTTCTGGCTTAGCAACTTGGGAAGCAGTCTTTTTTCTGGCTTATTGAAAATAATTTGGCCTATGTTAGGAATAAAATGAGGCCCACTAAAGTGCAGTACATCACCAGAAAGGTTTTAATTTTCTTCCTTTTATTTCTCTACAGCAGCTCCTGATAGAGAAGTCCTTCCTTATGCTTGTTCCATTAACATCAGTTGATCTGATTTTTTTACCATGTGGTTTGTTAGAAGGACCATATAATACAGATGGTCAAACTTGGCTCCGGTGTCATTTGAATTAAGGTGGTGGGAGTTTCTGAAATGATGCTCAGTGAGAAATACGGCAGTGGGATAGATCACTTGTTTGCAAACTTAAGATTCCCAGGAAGAGATTCACTTGCATTTTTGATGAGGTGAAAGAGTCTTTCTGCCTGCATGGTAGAACCCACACAGATCAGCTGATGCTAAGTCTGCACAGCCCATATGTAAAAATAAAGCCAAACAGGATAGAGGTTTTCATGTAGAATCATACTTATTGACAAAGGAAACTGGTGGCACACTGGGAGGTTTTGAACATGTGCTAACATCCTTTCACTTCCTGGATAATGGTGAACGCCACCATACGTCTTTTAACGTGCATCCTGTCCTTTCAGGTGGTTGATCTGCTGTTGGCCCGGGGAGCAAACAAAGAACATAGGAATGTGTCTGACTATACACCATTAAGCCTTGCTGCATCTGGTGGCTATGTTAATATCATCAAGATTCTGCTCAATGCTGGGGCAGAAATCAATTCCAGGTAATGTGCTGGGCACACCCAATGAGCTGCAGCACAGCACGGACCCTCTGCTGCTGGCTGCACACTGGGGTTGGGATCTCTAGTGCTTTCAGACCCCCTCATAGCCTTTCTCCACTGGTGTTATATTTATGTTTACCTTATCTTAGTGCTTTTAAATTGCCTTTAACTGCCACAAACTTCATCTCCCTTTTACCTAAATTTTCAGGGATTACTGTAGTTTGCAAACCTATTCCTTCTCTTTCCCACCATTCTGGGATCTAGAAGTCAAGCTATTTCTGATAGAACGAGGTCAAAGAACTAGCTAAAGCACTCCGGGCAGACCTGTGTGTGTGTTTTGAGGATGTCTTTTTCAGTAAGACCAACAAAACTATACAGCTATATCGTCTAAGCCTCCTCGTTATTCATTTTAAGGAAGATAAAGTGTATTTTATCAGTAGAAAAAGTTAAAACTAGTTACAGCTGTGCTAGAAGCATGTTTTTTCTGAATGAATCAGTGCAGCCTTGATTTTTTTTTTTTTTTTTTTTAGTATATGTATTTGAAAGCTTATGCGTGCTTCAGCCCTCTGAATGTCTAAAAGCTGACATGTATTTTCCTTTTTTATAAATTGCAGTTGTCTATTGCATGTAATTACTCTACTGGTTTCTCCTAATAATTCAAAGATGTTAGTATTTTAGGTCAGTGCGTATGTTTGTGTATGTTATATGTTCCTTTCTGGCTTCCAACAAAGCATTTGCTCCTCTTACATACACTTAGATTTCCCAGAACATTCCTGGGAGCTGCAGTTTGTCTCTTTCCCCTCAGGACTGGCAGCAAGCTTGGCATTTCTCCTCTGATGCTGGCTGCTATGAATGGCCACGTCCCTGCCGTGAAGCTGCTGCTGGACATGGGGTCTGATATTAACGCCCAAATTGAGACCAACCGGAACACAGCCCTCACCCTGGCCTGCTTCCAGGGCCGAGCAGAGGTAGTCAGTCTGCTCTTGGACAGGAAGGCCAACGTCGAGCACAGGGCGAAGGTACGTGTGGGAATTGCCCTTCCTTACGACTTCTGCCAGGTGATTTCTCTGAGTCATCAAGTTTCTTCAAATTTTCCTGTTCCTTTGAGCTTTTCCAGAAGCAGAGAACTTCTGCTCTGAGAAGTCCTCCTTCTCAGAGGACTTATTACACCAGAGGACTTATTAAATGTTCTGAAATAAGGTTTGGGGGTCTTTTTAACAAAAAAAAAAAAAAAGAGCATCAGTGGTGATGAATTCTTTGCACTAAGGAAAAAGCTGCCTGGTCCTCCTGAGTTCCTAATGAAACTTAGGTTAACTTTTGTTCTGTAGTACTGAGAAACTTTTCAGGTTGAAGCTTGACATTATACTTCTGACAAATACACAGATTTTACATACAAGTGAAGTCCAGGCAGGAAGAGAACAGTGGTGCTTATACTGATTCTCAGATAGAATAGATTTTTTGTCTTCAACAGAAGTAGCGCAGTCAAACTTTGTAAAGCTTTTACGTTGCTGTAGAACCCATGGCTTCAGCACTGTGACTTTCTGTGCCTCTGAAATGCTCCACAGGTCCCATCCTTTGGTACTCTGGGACAGCTTTGTGTCTCCTGCCATAAAGCAAGCTTAAGGCTTGTGTAGACAGCCAGACTGATTTCCCCAGCACAAAGGAAGTTTTGGTAACTCCTAAGGCTGCTGAAATAATTGCTGTGTCTGTTTACCCTGCCTGCTCCTGGAATGACTGTGGCTGGAGGAAAGGGGATATGGATAAAAGCCAGCTCTGCAATGGTCAGTTGGGCATGTTGGCAGCTGGTGTAAGTTTATTTCACAGTCTAGCCTGGCAACTGAGCTGGGCCCAGGTCAGTCTCAGTGCTAAGGCAGGCTAGAGAGAAGCTAAAAGAGCCGGTTTCTGAGCATTTCTGTAGAAACATTTGTGTCTTCATTTGGATTTGGTCTAATATCTGGTTTAGAGATGCTGTTGTAAACATTCGTTTTGCTGTTCAGACAGGTATCTGATGGTGCTTAGTCAACATTTCCCTGGGTTTGTATAAATCAAAGCCCAAAAGTATTTGGTGTTTGGGTTTGCGGGGGGAGGTGTCCTTTGGTTGTGCATTTCAGGGGTTTTTTTGTTCAGTTTTTTTTTGTGGGTTTGGGGGTTTATTTTCTTTCTTTTTAGAAAGAGAATGCTTGAAGTTAGGCTCCTAAACTAAATATAAGCAGCTAAATAAAATCTGATTTCTTTATGTAGAAATCATTTGTGTCTTATCCAAAGAAGGTACACTGTACACATGTCAAACTGCATAGCTCTTTCTCTTTGCACAGACTGGCCTCACACCTCTGATGGAAGCAGCTTCGGGAGGATATGCAGAGGTTGGAAGGGTTCTCCTTGATAAAGGAGCGGATGTTAATGCTCCGCCTGTGCCTTCCTCAAGAGATACAGCTTTAACAATTGCAGCAGATAAGGGTCACTACAAGTTCTGTGAGCTCCTGATTAATCGGTAAATTACTTCTTTGTCACACTCTGTAGCTGTGTTCCTCTGTATCAGGTGTCTCCTGCATCTGAGAGCAAAAGGAATGGGAAGCTTTGGAAGCAGGATGTTGCATCTGTTCCCTACTCTCCAGTGTTACCGTGGAGTATCCTGCTACTCTAGTGTTAATTAAGCTGAGCAGGCAGCTGGGGCCAGAATTAAGCAAATAGTGTCTGGCTTGGCAGCTTTCTTGGCTGTGTATTAATCCAGCAATTCCCACACAAGCATTTCCCCACTGTCACTTGGGGACCAGAGGCTGGCAGTAGCTCCTGAGCTCTTCATGCAGAACCTAAAATCCTAAGGTGCTGCTTTGTCCTGTGGGTGGGCACCACCTTCATGATAATTTAAAGGACCTGTGGTTGCTGTGGTGCATCGAGTGTGTGTTTCTGAGGGAGGTTTAAATAATCCCTGTGTCACTACAGTGCAACTTAAACAGCAGATTTCAGGGACAAAATCTCTCTATCTAGCCACTGTATTTCAGGAATTAAAGCTGAACAAAGTACTTGGTTCTGTTGTGATCTTACTTCCTGACTTCCACCTTTATTCATACCCTGTTTTACTGGATTTTTAGAGGAGCACATATTGATGTTCGTAACAAGAAAGGAAACACACCACTGTGGTTGGCTGCTAATGGGGGTCACTACGATGTGGTTCAGCTGCTTGTGCAAGCGGGAGCAGATGTGGATGCTGCGGATAACCGGAAGATTACACCTCTTATGTCAGCATTTCGTAAGGTAGGAAACCTGCTTAACTGTGTCAGTAAGAAATGTGTGCAAATCAGAATTTGTCATTTGGTCTTAGATCTGAATGCTTAGGTTTGGAAGAATCAAATATAACACAGAAAATTACTATTTTGATAAAATGCTGTCAGCTGAGTACGTCACACAGGTCTCCTTTTTGAGAAGTGAAAAACGTTGTTCCATAAACAATGTTAAGTTTTACTTCCAGTTATTCAGTGTCCAAAAACTTTCACTGTTTGAGATTTCACTGCCTTGATATTGAGATAGTCCCCTCTAAATTCCTGCAGATTACACTGCTTGTCTCAGTACTGCTTTTGAGATGAACGGAATACCAGCCTGTAATAAGCTGTTCTGATTCTTCTGTGCTGCTGTTCTGTTCCTAACTTCTTGTTGAGTGGAACATTTTGTGTAGTTGAAGCTGACTATAGCTTTTCTTCTTGGCAGGAAGAACATTGGTCTCCTCAGTTTTGTTGAATGGTTTTTTGACAAACAGCAATACTGAGCATGCCACTGCTGTCCCTCCATTGCTTTCAAATAACTTCAGAGGCAACAGCTGGATGCTTTCTGTGTGGTTGCACAGGGTACCCCATCAGTGATACCTTCCTTCCCAAACAGCACCAGACATGTTCTTGCTAATCTTTAGTGTTTTTCATTGGACTAAGTGATACCAACTTGTCAACTTTCATCATGAAAATAGAACTGTATGCAAGAAATCAGAATTTTTTTTTGGTGTTCTAGGGGCATGTGAAGGTAGTTCAGTTCCTGGTGAAAGAAGTTAACCAGTTCCCTTCGGACATTGAGTGCATGCGATACATAGCAACAATAACAGACAAGGTGAGTTTGGCTTGGGGAAAAGACCCTGGTTCTTGATTTTCACTGCAAATATACATGAGAAATTCTTAAGTATTCAAAAACTGAATGTATATGTTCGCTCACGCACATAAATCAGCATTTAGAATGCAATTCAGTTGAAATGGTTTGTATGGTTATGAATAGAGAGATGCTGCTCTCACATTGGTAGAGCAAGCCTCACTCCTCAATTGTAGTTTATTATGGAAATAGTAAGACAAGTCTGCATTCCAGGACCTGTTGAAGAAGTGTCACCAGTGTGTGGAGACAATTGTGAAAGCTAAAGACCAGCAGGCTGCAGAAGCAAATAAGAATGCAACTATACTGCTGAAGGAGCTAGACCTGGAAAAAGTGAGTAGAGAATTGCTGCCACACAGCATATAAGGGTTTGAGCTATATATTAAAAACAAGTGGTTAAAATGATAGTTTTTCTGTAAAATACTTTGGGAGATCTTTTTGATTCAAAGATGTGAACGTTGCTACAAAAATGTTAATGACATTATTAGGTGTATTTTGTGAAAGGACTGAGCTGGTAAGAGATTTTGCTAGTTTTCCAGTAAAAATTCTATTTTTATACCACCTCTGTTTTGGTTATTATTGTGTTGTAATTCCTTAGAAGTTTGGGGACCAGCTAATCCTGTTGTTCCATAAGGTCTGCCTAGTTTCCATGTAAACAATTCAGTATGTGACAAAGCCATTTTAATCCATCGTGCCCTCTCCTTTCTTCATCCCCCCCAGATTTCTAGGGAACAATAGAATTATAATGTAGTCTGTGTAAAAATATTTAAATATGGATCCTTTTCTTCTAGTCAAGAGAGGAGAGCAGGAAACAAGCTCTCGCAGCTAAAAGGGAGAAAAGAAAGGAAAAGAGAAAGAAGAAGAAAGAGGAACAAAAAAGAAAACAAGAAGAAGATGAAGAAAACAAGCCTAAAGAAACTCTGGAACTTCAAGAGGATGATGATGAAGAAGAAAATGATGATGAAGGTAAAGAACAAGTGTTTCTATGAACAATTAGTAGTTGTGGGAGTGACTTTATTTAACTGTCTGGGTAAGGGAACCTGTTGACAGCTACCTTCTCTGGTACTGCAGCATCCTTGTACAGCCTCTGCCCTGGCTTTGCCCTCTGCAGTCAAAGTTCACAACAAAATCCCTTTGTTCACACACAGACACCCTCAGCCCTGTTGCAAGGGACAAACCTTCAGTCAGGGCATTGATTCCTGTATCATGTGCACTTTGATTGTATGTCAACTGTTTTCCTTTTAGTGGAGCAAGAAATTCCTATAGAGCCTCCTAGTGCAACTACAACAACTACCATTGGGATTTCTGCAACTTCCACTACTTTCACAAATGCCTTTGGGAAGAAGAGAGCTAATGTGGTGACTACCCCCAGCACAAACAGGAAAAACAAGAAAAATAAAACGAAAGAGACTCCTCAGAACATGCAGATAATTTTGCCAGATCAGCATATATCTCTAGCCCAGCAAAAAGCAGATAAAAACAAAATAAATGGAGAGCCAAGAGGTGGTGGTGCGAGCGGGAATAGCGATTCGGATAACTTGGATAGCACAGATTGCAATAGTGAAAGCAGCAGTGGAGGGAAGAGCCAGGAGCTGAACTTCACGATGGATACGAACTCCTCGGAGCGGCGCTACGCCTCCCTGCTTATCCCCTCTCAGGAAGAGAAAACGAGCACCTCAGCTTCGAAAACACCCACCAGGTGAGGCTGCCACGTTGCTCCTGTCATTTCACAGGGGTTTACTTAAACCAGTTTAGACTTTCTGTAGCTGAAGCTTTACACCAGCTGGTGCATTCCCAAAGAGACTGAGTTTGCTTGGGTTTTGCAGCTGCTAAATAATACTGTCAAGTTTGTTGAACATAACCTCTTTAAACTGGTACAGTAAGATTATTTTTTTTTTTTTTTTTTTGCATTGCTGGCTAGTTTTTAATACAGCTTTAGCAAAACAGCTGTTTTTCTCTGCACTGTTTAATCATCCATGTTGCGTTGTCAACTTTATTAGAATGGATTTTAAAGTGAATATGCTGGATATTACTTGCAGAAGTGGCTTCATTACATTTTGATTGTTTTGTGGTTTCATCACTAACTCATTTGGATTGCAATGTTTTTTGTTTTAAGGAGGGAGGAGGCTGATGACTCTGAGCATTTCACCTGCCAGGTTGATGGCCAGTTTGACTTAAACTTGTCAAGCCAGAGGTGAGAGTCAAAAGAACTGGACGAATGTACAGAGGCTGTGTGTATGTTTTGGAAGATGGTTCCGTTGCCAGGGAATGAGCTAATAACACCAGTTTCCAAGTAGTTCATTGGTCTGAATCAAAAACCTGAGATCCCATCTGAATCTGTAGTGTTGCATATAAGTAGCATGAACCTGTTCCTCTGTAGCTTGCTTCTTTCTTTTCCTGCATTTAGGGAGGGCAGAGGGTGTGGGGCTTGATGTGCAGGTCACCTGCCTGAGAACCCAGCTTCAGTGAGAACACAAACAGTATGGGATGAGAAAGGGCAGCAACTGGGAAGGCTGTCACTGAGGAGGCAGTTGGGATTTTCTTTTTCCTTTTCTTTTTTTTGCCAGATTGAAATTAGGTGCAGAATGAGTGGATTTGTTTGTTTTGGATTACCCTTGATGTTAGAAATTATTGTTCTATTTTAGGAACATAATCTGTTCGTACCTTGAACCCGTCTCCTACAAAAACCTTGTCAATTCACTCCAGCAGGACTAACTAAATGCATACTCATAACTCCCTGTTAGAAGTGGTGCTTCTGTTAGGTGAAGTACACCTAAGAAACAAGACCGTATATAAGTACCAAAATGGGGCTAGTGTATTTTATTAACCTCTGCAGGTGCTCTTTGGCTTTTGCTTTAGGCAGACTTTGAAAATAATTTCTAAATTTGCTCTTCCCAAATTCCTCTTCTCTGTAGTCATGAACATGCTGATGATGAGGCTGCTGTAATTGAAACTTAAACGTGGTAATGATGCTTTTCGGAAAACATACCTACAGAAGAACCACAATAAGCTTCATTCTTTTCCTGTGCATTTTCTTGTTTTCTTTGCCTCAATCTTAACTGAAGCATGAGGTCGTCCTCCCAGCTGTGCCACAGATGTGCTGGTTTGAATCACATAAGGCTAGTTTGTCAATCATTTGTGAAGATTTTGCCTATGTTTTATTACTTCATTCAGTTTAGCACTCCACTGTTTGGAGCAAGGGTATAGGCTGTGGACTGAAAGGTAAAAAAACTACCTAGAAAGTCACCCAACAGTTCTTCCAGGTAGAAAATAAGAATAAACTCAGTTCATGCTAGTAGTTTTAAGTTGCAGAAATGCATACTGGAATGCTGTCATTTTATTCTGTAATGTGTAATTTGCACATTTCTGTTCCCAGACTTGATGGTGAAGGTCATTCGAATTCTTTGTCAACTACTTATAAACCTGTTTCCCTGCCTCTGACGTCTCCAAATGTGAAGCTGAATCTGACTAGTCCAAAAAGAGGCCAGAAAAGAGAAGAGGGCTGGAAAGAAGTGGTTAGAAGGTAAAGACTTTAATTGTATGTTAGAAACTAACTGTGAGCTTTTTGGCCTGTGATTTTTCTCAAATGTAGAATGTCCAGAAAGCTTACTTATTTGTATCATTAATTTATTAAAAAATCTCTCCCCTTACTCTTGCAATGCTGTGAAAACAAACTGCAGTCCTATGTGTAGTAATTCTTCACTAACTTAATATGATGGGACACAAATATTTTACTTGGCTCAAGAGTTTTCTTTCCCTGTGACTTAAGTGCAGTAAAGGATGTGGGGATAAGATAAAAGGGGGAGAGAACAGATGGCAGTGGAAAGCTCCTGCACCAGATGATTACCTGCACTTGAACTAAAGGCAGGATGGATGTTGGTAGAGGAGAGGTGGAGGATCTCTTCAAGGCTAAAACTGATCGCTGACTCCATGGAAAATTTGTCACCTTAAAGTGAGTGCTAGAGCTGCAATTAGATGAAAGATTTTCTATGGAGCAAACTTTCCTGTTGAAAATGTTCTGGGGTTTATTACATGGCCATTAACACCCCAGTACCTTTTCTGTAACCTTTATGATTTCTTACTACAAGTAATAACTTCTAGTTACTACTTGTTCTACTTGTAACTAGAAGTGATAATCTGGCTTTCCTTTTTTTGTTCTCTTTATCAAAAAGGAATGCATCATGGACATAGAAGTGTCAGATGCTCTGGGTGCACTCATGATGCCCTCCTGCTTTTTGTGTTCTGCAATGATAGTGACCAAATATGCTCGTTTTGGAGAATTTTAGGCTGTGTGCAAAGAGTGTAATTGTAGAGAGGATTTAATGCATTCCCATTAGTGGAAGCCATGGACTGTTCAACAGTTTAATCTGAAAATATTAAGTGTTTGAACCCTCAGAGGATTGGTTCAGTCTTTGCCTATTGTCATGTTCACTAATGGGGCTTTCCACTGTGACATGGCCTCGCTACATGTATGGTTGCAGACTGCCCACCACTTGGTGAGTCCCGCAGGCATGAGACCATTGAACAGTCAGCTGACTTTTCCAGGGCTTCACACAGACCCCACCGTGGATCCTGGAGCTGCTCCATCTCTCTTCCTGGGGTCTCTTGAGTTTCATAGGCTCAACTCAGCTGGTTGGTTGGGCATTGCTTGCTCTTCTGCTGGACATGGTAGGGTTCTAGAGGTGGCAGGGTTCTAGAGATGGCTTCCGGAATCTCACCTTTCATAAGAAGTTCTGCACTGGTGTTTGCTGTGCCTTGAGTGTTGAAGCATGTGTCCTGCCAAAGAGTTCTTTGTCAGCTTTAGATGCATGTGCAAAATGCCCAAGAGCTGCATGCCTTCCTCTCTTAAAGCCTCTCCTGATCTCAACAAGAATTCTTCTCCTTCCCTCTCCCCATGAGTAATCCCCTGGCTAGAAGGGAAGTCTGTCAAAGAATTAACCAACGCAAACATCCCTTGTGCCCTTGACAGGCAAGTAGGCAGAGTCTTGAAAGACCCTCCCCCCAGCAACACTCTGCAGCCAACACCAATTGAGCAATTTCAGCTGCAGAGAGGAGGGCGCTGCTGCTCGGGAGCAAAAAGGTACTGTTTGGGGTGCTTGTCAAGGTAAAACCATCAAGCTAAAGAGCAGTGTGTGGTGGGTGGGCAGGGGCTTGGGCACTGGGGTGAGTTCTTCTGGAGGAGGAATGTCTCCATGGGTGGTGGTGTGGGGTGGAAGCAGCCCAAGGTATGGTTAGGAGCCATGTGAGTAATGTGGGTGTATCTGTTGAGACTGAGGTAATGATGGAAGCTCTGATCTGGGGAGGGAGTGGCTGGGATGTCTAGCCTAGGGGGTGGAGGAGAGAAGAAAGCCCAAGGCACAGCAGAGGGGTTGGAACAAATTTTCCAAGTTTCCAAGACTGGAATTTCACAGCTAGGTGAAGCTGAAGCCTTCTCAAGGGGTGTTGGTGGTATGTACAGTGTCCAGAGCGGCCTTCGCTGTGGTCACAGTGGTTTCTGAAATGCCTTTGAGTCCTCTCTAATTGTTAAGTGTTGAAATATTGCACATCACTGGCAAGCTTTTGAAAGCAGTGTATGAGCTTGAGAGGTCCAGCTTTAGAAGTCCTGGGTCAGTGGTGACCCAGAGAGATCTTGGCTGGGGTCTGGATGCAAGCATAGATCGTGTTCAAAGACTTTCCAGTTCTGTGCCTGCACTGACCCACCAAAACTACATGAATTGTAGAAGTCCTCAGCACTGACATGGGTCAGTGCTGTGCCTGCTTCTGAAAATCTGTGCTGCCTTCACAGTGCCTTCCAGCAGCTCCTTAAATCACAGAACTGCACAATTTAAGTCTTCTATCCACTGTTGCATGGTGTCGCCAATAAACTTTCTGATCTTGAGGTCTGAGAGAGGTGAACACTGAAAAGGGTTACTAATGCAAGTGTTACAGACCTTATCCCTGAGCAAACGCTGGAAAACCACCTTCTCCATGCTGTGAACCCTAGCTATAAATGATCAAAGTAGCTAAGCCATGGATTTTTATATTTGAGCAGCACTATTTATGTAAATTTAGGTTGGTAAGCTAAGGATTTGTCTCACTTTGAAGGTACACATGGTAAGACAAAATCCCAAAGTGTTTCTGAAGCAGTATGAGGCAGACACAGCTGTGTTAAAACAGTGGCAGAATAAATGCTTCTTGGGATCATCAGGTACTGAGGGTGATGAGTGATTTCAGTGGAGGAGTGTAAGAGAGGCTCCAAAGGGTGAAGAAGTGATCAGCACAAAACCACATGCTGCCCTGAAACTTAATACTATTTCTTCAGCCCCTTGTCAGACAGCAAGGGACTTCTGAATGCCTTTGAAGTTTGAATGCATCTCAGATTTGTGATCTTTGTGATACAGGTCAAAGAAGTTGTCTGTCCCAGCTTCGGTTGTATCTAGAATAATGGGAAGAGGTGGGTGCAACATCACAGCAATTCAAGATGTCACTGGTGCCCATATTGATGTTGATAAGCAAAAGGATAAGAACGGAGAGAGAATGATCACTATAAGGTACAGTATCTAGAAATTAAAGTCTTGAGTTAGTCCACAATGTCATTTATGGGGAAGTTTGCTTTTTAAGACAGGGCATATTTAGCTTCTTGGTACTAGAAAGGAATGTATATTACTGCTGCCAAAGTATGCTGAAAGTCTACTTCAGAGATAATCCTGAAGATAAGCAAAAGTCAAGAAATAACTTACTGGAGTACACATGCACTAGGCTTGCAGATCAGTATAAAACTGAGGCTATGGAATGTTGCACAAAGCGGGGATTTCTTTTGCAAAAGATAAAACTGCTTATATTCTAGGGGCGGTACGGAGTCGACGCGATACGCAGTGCAGCTCATCAATGCCCTTATTCAAGATCCTGCCAAGGAATTGGAAGACTTGATTCCTAAAACTCATATAAGAACCCCTGCTTCGAGTAGCAAATCAATCCATGCAAACTTTTCATCTGGGGTCAGCACTGCGACTGCTTCAAACAAGAACTCCTTTCCCCTTGGAGCACCGCCCCTCGTCACGTCGCAGTCATCAACACTATCTACTTTCCAGCCTACCAACAAACTGAACAAGAATGTCCCAGCCAATGTGCGTTCATCTTTTCCAGTGTCTCTTCCTCTAGCTTATTCTCACCCTCATTTTGCCTTGCTGGCTGCCCAAACTATGCAACAGATCCGGCACCCTCGCTTACCTATGGCCCAGTTTGGAGGAACTTTTTCACCTTCACCGAACACTTGGGGACCATTCCCAGTGAGACCAGTTAACCCTGGCAGCACAAACAGCTCTCCAAAGCATAACAGTTCGAGTCCTTTTTTATCCTACAGACGGAGTCTCCTGGATTGGCTACTTCTACTTGTCCCATTACTGTCTCTTCTGTAGCTGCTTCCACCCAACCGCTGTGCGTGACCAGTAATCGGACTCCCTCGTCGGTCAGGAAGCAGTTATTTGCCTGCGTTCCGAAGACAAGTGCTGCAGCAACAGCAATCTCAACTGTGACGAGCACCTGCAGCACTATGCCTTCAGCTTCCTCTGCTCCCCCAAGCAATGGGCAAGTGCCCCCAGCATTTCTGCCATCTAATGCTCCCCAAGCGCAGCATTCTGCGCTGAAAGCGGACTCTTTCTCGGCTGTCTCAGCACCCAAAGAGAAGGTGTCAGTACCAGACCAGCCCACTGCAAGTGCGTGTGCACCGACTTCAGTTGCAAGTAGTTGCAGTATGTCAGCAAGCAGCAACTCGGGAGTCACTGAAACGCGCCCGTCGAGCAGCCCTGCTCCGCTAAACAATGTCCAAGATGAAATTCTGCCAACCAGCATGTCAGAGATCAGTCCTTCTGTGCCGATGCCTTTTTCATCCAGCTCAGAAACTGCTCCTTTAAGCTTAGCGTCACCCAGGTCAGTTGTTGCAGATAATCAGGACAACAGTAACTTACCTCAAGTAGCTGTACCAGCACCTCGAGTTACTCACAGGATGCAGTCCAGAGGTTCTTTCTATTCAGTGGTACCAAATGCAAACCTCCATCAAGATCCTCAGTCTATTTTTGTTACGAATCAAGTTCCTTTAACACCTTCTCAAGGTCCACCTGCTGCAGTGCAGCTTTCGTCAGCCATGAACGTTATGAACGGTTCTCAGATGCACATTAACCCAGCAAACAAATCATTGCCTCCTACCTTTGGGCCAGCAACGCTCTTCAATCACTTTAGTAGTCTTTTTGATAGCAACCAGGTGCCAGCTAACCAAGGATGGGGAGACTGTCCACTCTCAACCCGAGCAGCAGCTGACCCATCCTTCACTGTTCAGTCTACCTTTCTGAGTAACTCTGTGCTAGGACACGTGGAAAACGTGCATCCTGACAACTCCAAGGCTCCTGGTTTCAGGCCACCTTCCCAGCGGGTTTCGACTAGTCCTGTAGGTAAGTCATTACGGTCATGCACTGGACAGAATTCTTTCTCCAACCATTACACTTTGATCATCTCAAACTGAGAAGTAGTTTATAAATGACAGTTAGGGAATACTAATGCAGTGAGGATGGCCTACTTTTTCCAAGTGCTCTTCAAAACATTGATGATGATTTTTTTCCTATCTTCAGCTCTTCTAGGATGTTAGGTGTTGGGGACATTGCAGACATTGCATTGCTTGTCCACTGTAAGGCACAGGAATGCTTCCACCTGTTTGTGTTGTTCAGAGTAGCACTGATTATAGCTTTTGGGTTGGAATAGAACAGAGGGTTTGGTGATACCATACATGAACCAGTGGGGACAGGACTCCTGGCAAGCTCCAGCTACAGGAGTGACTGCATGCAGTGAGTTCAGTGTTTGGTCTGAAAATCCAGCTTTATCCGGTTGAGGGTAAACTCTCTGTACTTTCAGTCTCTACCACTGTAGGATTTTAATAAGCTTATGTTGTGCTGTGGGAAATTGGTGTGCTCCTGCATGGTGTGTTTTATTATGAAGTCTTTCTGCTAAGTACAGCAGGTGAAGCTTATCTGCATTTATTTGAAATGTATTAGGAACAGTCTGAGCTCCCTGCTCTTGCTGTGCGCTGTCTAAATGTTTTTTTATCATCTTAGTGGTCAAACTATGCTACAGGCAACTGATTCTACCCATTTGACTGGAAAGGACCCTTAAGGGATCTAGTCTGTGCCCTTCTCTTCTCCTTTTCATTCTTACCATAATGCCTTTATGGTGCCTTGAAGTTGTTTTACCCCTGCAGTGTTTGGCACTCGGCCACTTCCTGCCCAGTGCAGTAGCAGCACCAGATGTAGCTACAGCTGTGTGAGGTAAAATATAACTGGACCTTGTTCCTCAAATAGGCTGCTAATAAAAGAATTGCCAAGCCCTCCTCAGCAGACTCCAGACACTTTATGTTGGCACAGCTTTTTCCCTGCAGTGCTCTATACGGGGAGTTGGCTGTTGCTGGAATAACCCCTAAGGAAGGAAGCTTATGGCAGGGGGGGTCTTCTGATTTTTCTGATGGTCACATCCTGCATATACAGAGACAGCAAAAAATGTTGCTGTTCCCTTCTGCTAAAGTCATCTGTTTGTCCCCGGGAAAAATATATTGTCCTTTCTATATCCTTAAATGACTGTACCTATTTAAAAGGTAGTCTGAATCTGTTTCTTCCCTGAGTTAGGAAGGTTAGGTAGATACCCAAGGAAAGCTCACATAGTTTACCTGGACGACATAAGGGTGAAGTCATTCTCAACTGAAGCACAAAAAGATTTGGACAGAACACATCTGGTGGTGGAATTTGACCAGGATATTGCAAGTGAAGAAAAAATGGTAAATAGGTGGATGTGCTGATAAGTTGTGCCTGGCAGGTGACTGGTCAGTCAGTTCCTCAGCTGATTGATTTGGTGTCATTCTACTTAATACTGCTTTTGAGCACTTACATTTCAGAATCTAAATTGTCTGCACAGGAGGAGAGGAGCTGGGGGAGCCTGGGGAGAGTGGGGTGTTTGGAAGGTGTGATAGTGAGGAATGGAGTGGGGATGGAAGGCTGAGGATCTCTCCAGTGCCTTCCCTTGGAGTGTAAGTGCAGTCCTGTGGTCTGCCCGCCCATCTCATTCACTGCCACTTCCCAGGGGAGCAGACCTCTCAGCTCAGCCTCTGACGTGGGTTGAACTGGGGCCTGTTCCCATAGGATTTAGTGGCTGGTTTCATGAGACTTGGAGAAAGGAGGAAGAGTGCTGGTCACTGCTGGCTTGTACACTGGCCAACAGTGATACACTGGGCAAGGGGCAGTCTGGGCCTTGCTGGGCAATTCAGCACACTGATCTGTGATGAGAGGGATTGGTAATGGCCGTCAGTACATGTATCCTCTGACTCTACATCATTGGCCTGATGGAGCAGAGGTTTGTCTTATGTGCTTGTCTTGCACTGTGGGCTGTGGCAAATGTTTTACACAAATCAACATCTCCTCATGATCACCTCTGAGCTGATTTGGTGGAGATTTAATAGAATTTGATTGTGCACTAAACCAGCTTTCTCTTAACAAGTTGCACCTTGGGGTGGAGTTAGGGTACTTTGCTTTTCCTATTCATGGATAAGCTCAGTTGCAGCTTAAGTTTTCTCTGATTCAGTGGTTCATTGGAGGCACAGACTCAAATGCAGATCTCACTGGCTGTGGATCTGTTCTGGAAATGGCCTTCTGTCTCACTCATGCCTTTAGATCTCTTGTCCCAGCAGTTTGCAAATTGAGAGCAGACTTAGTAGCACAACCATTAGAGGAGGCTGTGGAAATACTAGAAGTCTAATTGTTACTTCTTTCCTCTGCATCATAAGAAGGGGTTTGAGACCTTGCTCAGATGGCATTGAAAGGCTTGAAATACGCCAGCTTAGGAAGCAGCACACGAGTATGAAGTTGCATGAAATAAATGGGGTCCCTCTTCTGCATAGAGTGACCAAGTGGTTGCTCTGAAGGTGGAGGCAGTCCTGGCAGTAACCAGTTTCTGCAGAAGTGCCTGGAGGCTTTGATAAACTGAATTTTGAGCAGAGTTTGTGTGAGATTGATACACTGGTCTTGAAAGCTCAGTAACGATTTCAGAGCATGATGAAGAATTTGAACTGATGGCCCAAGTAACTACAGAGTATGGTGTTGCAAAAGGTTTCAGTATCACAAAACCTGCTTTTGAGGGTAAGTACACAAATAGGAAGCTCACTACTGAAATCAGGATTCTCTAAGTCATTGTTCATAGAAGTCATTTTTAATATTGAGCAAAGGTTTTTTTAATCCACTTTCATGAAAGGCAAGATAATGATAAAAAGTGTTCTTCACAAACTGAAAACTGCTGAATTGAACTTGTGCGTTCACTTGGATGTCACTTCCTTCAACCTGTATAAAATACACAGCAGTGCTGAAATGGTCTTGGCTGTATAATCATTGCACTGGGAAAGCTGACCATCCTTCAGAAGACACAGCTGGGCATCTCTCTTCTGCAGAAGAGCTATTTTTGTCATAATCTCTGCCTTGTTCTCCCTTTAGGAAACCAGCAGTGCCCAGTGGCAGTAGCAGCTTGGTTACCCCTTCTGCATGAGGCAGACTCAGGATCTGCAGTGGTTTGTCAGCCAGCTGGAAATTCGGGGTTGATGTGTGGTGGAGTTGGGCACCACTGGGACCTTTCGACTCCCTGGTATTTTGTGGATGGAGGTTTAGCAAGAGGGTCCCAAGGGTAGCTTCGTGGCCTTCGTGTGCACAGGGAGAGCCCTCAGCTGGAGGTACCTGTGCAGGAAGGAGCATCCTCCTTAGCCATGGAGTCTTGCACTTTGTGCTGTGATAAACCCTGAAAGATTATCCTCCTGTGCTCGGGTTATCTCATCTGAGCACCACATTTTGGTGATGATAGTGATTGATTTCTCCTTGTCTATAATGGAGACATCTTTTCTTTTTTTTTTTTCTTTTTTTTTTTTTTTTTTTTTTCCTTTTTTTTTTTTTTAACCCTTGAGGTAGGGCTAGTGAGAAAAGCACCTCCTTCAAATCCAGAGAGTCATTTCTGTCAGTGTAAGCAGGTTGGATCTGGCACTCCTGGAAGCAGTATATCAGGTTGATGTGCTTGAAAATATTGGGGGGAAAAAGACCTGGCTTTCAGGAAGGTGCCCAGGCAATGGAAAGTACACCTCTGGTCTACGGCCTAAGGCATTTCCTGTCTGCTGCTTGCAGAGTGCTGTGGTAGGAGTCGGTACAACCTTCAACCTTGCTCTGCAGCAGCATAGGCTGGTCCTGGTTGTGGTCATTTTGGAATGTTCAAATGGTTTTGAAACTAGTCTTGTTTAATAGGCCCTTGAAACTAAACCCAAAACTCAGGTGAACATATGGCTATGCCCAATTCTGCTTTCAGGTAATAATGTGTGATAAGAGCTATTACAACATTTTGGAAAAGTACTTAAAAGCTTTGGCTTATTAAAAACCTGTAATTCCCCCTTTGCTAATAATATTTGTGGGACTTTGAACTTTCTCTCCACCTCTCCCTTTCTCTTATTCATCCCTGTAGAAAGCAGCCCCCCCACCTGCTGTACTGTGCATCATCAGCCCTGTTTCTCTGGACACAGCATGTCCTGACCAATCTGTATGTGAATGTACCTATAGGATGGCAAAAACCGTACTGTAGTGAGCTACTTCCTTGGTGCTGGATTCCTGTGGGACCTTCACAGAGCCCTGTATCCCTGTTTGACTTGCGTGGCTTTTTTGTAAGCAAAGATCCTTGCCACTCCCAGCTTTCCTCCTTTGCCCTCCCTGCTTAAGATAATTTCCTTTCAGTGACCAAAGGGATGGCTGGTTTTGTTCAAGCTTCAGGCCAAACTAGAGAGCATACACAAATGCCTTCTGTTGGTTTTGAAGGGAGAATCGTGCACTTGTAAAATGAACTTACCATGTGCAGATACCCCCGAAGGTGATGAGATGCTTTAATTATATTTGGAGCACTAGCTCTCTTCTGGTGCTTTGGAGCAAGTTCCCAAAGAGAGATATTTAATCAAATTTATGTTTATTTCAGGCTTACCCTCTCTAGATCCATCCAACAGCTCTACAACTTCTTCTTCAGGTCCTTTGACAGGCTTTTCAGCAAACATACAAGGAGCACGGGTTTACCTTCAAGGGCCAGCGCCTGTTGGGACTCCCAGCTTTAACAGACAGCATTTTTCACCACATCCTTGGACAAGCGCAACAAATTCATGTAGGAACTTCATGGGTCTGTCTTAGTTAACTATAAATTCATAGCAATTGTCTCTAGTAGATTTGTAACTTGAGGGGAGATTACCCAGTGATGCACAAAATGCTTTCCAATTGCTTTTAGCAGCTGTGAGGATGGTGTGCAAATCCCAAGCTGTGCTATTTGGTGTTTTTCCCATGTCAAACACCACTAGTTCTGGTAGCATTACTAAAGGCATGTTTGGGCAAAATAATGTGTCATTGTAGACTCTGAGATGAGAGGGCATGAGGCTGTGGGGGAGTGGAGATGGTTATACCAAGCTAAAGATTGCCCTCTGAATAGTATGAATGTAATATTAGGTGAAAATGTCACATTTGCCATGGTTTGAAGTTATACTCGCCTGGTTTCCCCTACCCTCTTTTTTTTTTTTTTTTTTTTTTTTCTTTTTTTTTTCTTTTTTCAATTGGGGTTCTGGAATGATTTTATGTTACTTAAAATGCTCCAAAATCTTTAAGCATCACCCGAGGTAACAGTGGGTTTCTCTCCTAATGGGAAGAACATGGAAGTAGCTTTACAGAAAATATGGGTCTTTGATTCTGTATCTGAGGTGAAGAGGCTTTTCATGTCACTGCATGCAACTTCGTTGTCACTCTGAGTTTAAGAACCAAAACATGTAAATGAGTGCTCAAAGGAAGTTGGATTTCCCAAGAAGAGTCAGTGACACTTCTGCAGTTGGTGGGACTTGGGCTCTGATGTTACACATGTGGCTTTGGGAAGCTGTCTAATTTCTCTTCTGCTGGAAGTGATGGATACCAAAACTAGGCTGGTTAGATACTCATGGTATTTTGGCTGATGTTTTCACCTCTTCCTGAAACTCTTCCATGTTTCTTATTCTTTCTTGTAATTAGTTTAGATGTACTGCTGTGTCATGAGAATATCACATAATTCTGATGGCTGAAAGCATTTGTGTTAGAATGTTGATTTTAGAGTAGAAAAATAAACTCTAAGCAGAATTTCTGTGCAAGACCTGAAGAATGCTTGCCAAAAAAAGCCTTTAATGATTTGCTTTGAGATAGTATTGGGGGGGATAGAGTGGGTAGTGTTTACACTTGTGTGCTTTGTGTGTAATTAAACAAGAGAAATATTCTTTTCAGCAGGTGAATCTCCTATTCCATCAGTTTCCTCAGGATCATCTTCGCCCCTTTCAGCTGCTTCTGCACCTTCTAACTTGGGCCAGCCAAAAACGGGTAACGCCAACCAAGACCGAAAGGTTCCCCCACCCATTGGGACAGAAAGGCTGGCTAGGATTCGACAGGGAGGATCTGTCACCCCAACACCCTTGGGAACCAACTTCACAGCTCCCGTCGGTCACAGTGGCATTTGGTCCTTTGGAGTTAACAGTGTATCTGGTACGTCAGTTGTACAGCCTGGGACAACCTAAAGAAACTTGCAGGGCCTTTTGGAAGTGCTGCGCTTGAAAAGAAAGTTGGGGAGGAGAAGAAAAGTTCCACAGTAATCAACTTCCATGTAGGATGTCCTGAAGGGAAAAATGGTGTCAGTGGAGGGAGAGTGCATATCAGTGAAAGCTCTGTGGTTTTACCTCCTGAATGTAGGTGGTTTTCACCCAGTCCGGTTTGTCTGTCAGCTTATACTTGTAAACCTGGAGAACAGCTCAGAAACTTCGTATTGAGTCTGTTGAACGATACAGAAGTTAAAAAGTAAATGACTTCTATCTCTTAAGGGGGTCCATTTCTAAGTCTGACCGTTGGCCTAAAAGAACAACTACCTCTGTCCAAGTTTCTAGCTTGCTTTCCGTTAACAATTTAAAGTATTAGTTGTGGTGCAGCTAATGCATCCAGAAATGCATAGAATCATAGAATGGTTTGGGTTGGAAGGGACCTTAAAGCTCATCTACTTCCAGCCCCCTGTCATGGGCAGGGACACCTTCCACTAGACCAGGTTGCTCAAGTTGTGGATGCTGAATTTTGCATTGATCTCGTCATGAATCTTGAATAGAATGGGGTCACTTCTGGTCCAGGCAGCCCCAGTTTCAAAAGAATTACTTTGAAACACCTGGAGTTTTACGTTCAGTTTCCTGATAGCTTGAGGTTCTTGTGGAAAGGAGGAGCTGCAGCTGGTGGCCCCCATTGTCTCCATGCTTGTCTGAAGGATCAAGATCAATGTCCATGCAGACAGCATGTGGCTGGCCAGGCTTCCCTGGCCTCGCCAATCTCTCTTTTGTACCTATGTTTGCCCCTGTCCCAAGTGTAACTTTTTTCTGTGTTCCTATGGTACGTGAGAGGTTGCGGGAGCTGGAGGGGAAAAGAGTGTATGTAAGGCCAGCCTTATATAGTGTTGCCTGCTGCAGCTTCCCTGTGAAAGGCCTTGATGCTGCAGATAAGACTTGTGTGTTTGCATTGCCTGTAATGGGTTATTAGCCAAAAATCTGACGTGTCTTCCTACTTTGGGCTGTTTGCAGTTGCTCAGAGCAGAGCCTGAAGATAGCTCTGTGACAGTGTGTTTTCAGAGAGCCTTTGATATATGTAGGCGTGTGCAGCTGCTGAATTCTGCTCCACAGTATCTTCAGTGAGTTGTAATCAGACATTTTTAATACCCTTTTTTCCAGAAGGCTTGTCAGGTTGGTCCCAACCTGTCATGGGAAATCATCCGATGCATCAGCAGCTGTCGGACCCAGGCACGTTTTCTCAACATCAGCCAATGGAGAGAGATGATTCTGGAATAGTGGCTCCCTCGAATATTTTCCACCAACCTATGCCAAATAGTTTTGTGGATTTTTCTAAAGTAAGTTACAAAGGGTGGGATTTAGTCTATAAAATGACCAAGGACTTTCTCTTTGTATCTCCTGTTCTGCCTGTTCACACTGTATGTGTGTGCCTCTTCTACTACTGCTTGCTGCACCTAGTCCTGAACCTCCTTTCATCCCCCAAGCCTGGTGGTGCACTTCAACAAAACCAGAATTTGTACATTGCAGATGTTCTCTTGTAAAGTAGCTGAATGCCTCTGTGCCTCTCCAGTGTTTCCTTTCTCAGAGGCTCAGTCACTCAGAAATGTTCCATAATGCTTGCTAATCTCTTGAAGCTGATTCAAGCTTTGCTTAATGCTTTTAGTACAAATCATGCCCATGAATCCTGAGGAACCGGTAAGATGGGAGGACCACTTGTAAATCTGTGCCTAGTATGTGAACACTGGGAAGTAGCTTGAGGCAGACACGTAGCCAGGCCTTAGCCAGCCGGCTGAGCGACCACTGAAGGAGTGTCCAGGATGATGTGCTCAACAGCAGACCTGTTCACAGCATGTGTCAGAAGTAGCTGTAGCATGTGCTCTTGGAATCTTCTAAATTGCCTACCAGCAATCATTGCAACACACAAAAGAAATCTCATGATCACAAAAAGCTGCTTTGCAGCTTGCTCTTTCTGAACTGGAAGAATTTTTAAATGACCGTTAGTAATTTATTAAAAAAACCTTCAACTTGGAGCCTTGAAGGCTCAGAGCTGTATAGGGGCTTTGCTGAAGTACAGCCCTGCGTGCACCAGCAGCACTGCATGCTGCAGAAGTGTGAGGGGGAACACTGGGATCCCTTTGTACAGCTGCTGTGTCTGGCTTTGTGGGGTGATCCGAAAGTGCTGTGCAGAGGGTGCTGCGTGGTGGCGAGGTGTAATCTCAGAAAAACAGGTGAACTGACTTGAGTTTCAGGCTCTGAAGAGTCACTGTGTTCCATGCTCTGCCTCTTTCCTCAGAGAGCTAAGTGACAGTAGGTGAACATCACATATGGAGGTGAGCTGCCTTGAGTCATCTTGGCAGATGTGGTGCCGTGATCATCCTTCAACAACTACTGCTGCCTTCACTGATGGTGCTTCCTCTTGTTCTCTCAGGGCCTCCCCATCTCCATGTATGGCGGCACCCTGATCCCCTCGCACCCGCAGCTGGCGGATGGCCCAGGAGGACCCCTCTTTAACGGGCTCCATACGCCAGATCCTGCCTGGAATCCCATGATCAAAGTTGTCCAGAACTCAACAGAATGTACTGATGCTCAGCAGGTAGTGTGGCAGCCTTCTCCCAACTTTGCTTACCTGGGGCTTTTTACAGTGATGTGCTTTCGTTTGGTTTTCTTCACTTTTGGATAGGTGATGGGTTTTGTTCTGTTCTTGGATGCTAGAATTGAAAATGTTTGCATGACTTCTCCCTACAGTGGGTGTGTTTACAAACAATATATGGTGCTATCCCAACCAAACCTTTCAGGTGAAATAATCAGCATTTCAAGACTGCTCAGCCAGGTAACCGACTGTGTTATAAGCGATAGGGTTTATATCCGTACTCGGCATCTTTCAGGTTGTTGGTCAAACTGGCCAGAGCCGAAGAGGGCTCTCAGCCGCTGGACAGTCTGGTTGTATTTGAGGAGGAAGCCTTCAGCTTGCCCCCTCTAGTGGTTAAACGCTCTGTTAAAGGAACCTTTATTTGTTTTCATAATAGCCTTGTCTTTTTATTTCTTGCTGTAGATTTGGCCTGGCACCTGGGCACCTCACATTGGAAACATGCATCTCAAGTACGTCAACTGATTTAAGGGGGTCTATCCTTTTGTAGCCTTGTTTGGGAATCTTTATGATCTTGGAAGAACCCTGGGGATTTTTTTAATGTGCCTAACTAAGCAATTTTCTGTGGGCTGGAACAATTGAAACTTAATGGCCCATTGTATAACAACCAATTGATTTACCTGTACAAACTGATTCTGTTCTCTGGTTAGTTTAGCCATTTTGAACTTATAAATCAGACAAAACTAGTGCTTTTGGCTAAACACTACTGAATGCTCCTTGTATGCAGCAGAGAAATAGCTGATGACGTGGACATGATTTCAACCTGTTAGGGTGGTAAATACATGTATAATTGTTTACAGACTTAAAAGGAAAAGCTGAGTAAATTTCATGTCGTATAGTGGCTCTACTTTATGTAGCCTGTATTAATGTGAACTATTTACCTGAATATTCAATAAAAGGCAAACAGTATTTAGAGGTTGTGTGTGAGAATTTTGGAAGAGGCTGGATGATGTTGTCTTTGGTAGCTGCTGTCATGCCCAGTGATGCATCTTCTTGGGGTCACAGAATTAACATGTGGATGCAGTCAGGGTTTGGGGGGATTTGATCCACAGTCATCTGCTGAGTCCTTTCCACTGCCACTTGGTAGCCTTGTATTTTTGGTCTGTGAATGTGGTTGTGCACTTTTTTTAGGTCTTTCTGGATTAGTTCTGCTTTCCAGGTGTGTTGCCTGAGATATGGTGTTTTGTTCAGGGGTTGGAAATAAAGGATGAGTTGACAACATGGCATCTGATGCCGTCTCGATTTGCAGGAGGTAAATAGGCAGCTCATAGGTAAATGCAGGTCTTCACCTCACTGTGACCAGCTGCCTAGAAGCAGGTCTTGGGAAAGCTGAGACCACTTCCCACTAGAGCAAAACATGATATATTAAATTCTAAGCTTTATGTAACCCTTTAGATCTGATAAGAGCTTATCAAGTCCTCTTCGTGAGGAGGATGGGGATTTTTGCATGCTGCTCAAGATGAACATTCATTCTGTACCCAGGTGCAGAACTTCTCCACTGCCTGCACTTGGGCTCTGCTTATTTCTGCTTCTGCTCAGTGGTGATGCAGTAAGTAGATCCATTCCTCAAGCAGCTACTGGAGTGCACACAGTGTCTGATCTAATGGACCACTTTCAGTGGCCTCTCACATGAGATGGAGACTTCTCCACCTTCTTTCTCCTTCTCCAGACAAATCCTTACATGCAGCAGCAGAGTTTTCCCCAGAAAAAGCATGAGGAAGGAGTACTGAAATCCCAAAACGCACAAGCAGCATCTGAATACTGCAGGGAGTCAAACCTCTGAGATGCTACTGGATGATATGTTCAGATATTTTTCCCTAGTATTTGAGGAAGAACTGCAAAATACATGGGACTTCTGCTGCCCTTTGGTAGTGCAAACACCAAAGGAGAAGCACTAAGTGTATTCAAACAGATGGTATTGTAGTGCAAGAGGTGCTTGCTCTTGGGGTAAATTGCAGGGGGGGGGGAATGGTGAGGGGTCCATAGGCTCACCCCTCTTCCATCCCGTGTGGCACCACCATCTCCTCCTGTCCCATCCCAGGGAGTCACCATCTCCTGTCCTGGGAGACTACAGCTCCACACCAGTGGCACTGTGTACTCCACCACACTGGGGTAAGACCCAGCTTGGAGATGAGATTGTCCCTTCAATGGAATGGCAGCCTTAACTGCCCCAGTCCTGCCTGATTGAGGCAGCTTCTTCCTGAGCAGGTCCCTTCCTAGGCTCTCCACCTCAGAGCTTGGTGCTTGGGTGCATGGGCACCTGTGCTGGGCACCAGGGTCAGGCAGGCCCATGGGGTGGTGGCTGCCCTGGCAGCCCAGACTTGGAGTGGAAAAGGGAACCCAGAGTTTTGTAGGAAGATACTCCTGGAAGCTGGAGCCATCACTGTCTTGTGCTGCTGCTGGCAGGGTGGATGCAGGGCCGGTCCCTCAGGGCAAGTCATG